GGCTGCAACTGAAAAGCAGTTGTAAATACCTTTCATTCAATTTCAGTATAACAGCATCACTTAACTCACCACAGGCTGAAATATACAGCTGAGTATCATCAGCATATTGGTGATACTTTAGTCCATGGTGACAGATGATCTCACCCGGTGGCTTCATATAAATGTTGAACAGGAGCTGAAGGAGGAAGAAATAAACAGGGAAAGTATGAATGGCAGAATTCCTGAGTTTCTTGCTACTTATGCCAACAAACCTCAGTTAAAAAATATCTATTCTAATATAGCAGGACTCTTAGGTTAAATGCTAAATGTTTTCAAAATCTCAGTCTTTTGGAACATGTCATACCCTAATATGAACAAACCATTATACTTTGATAGTGGAAAATATTTATTGATAATTGTATTTCAGTAGATACCATGATATATATATGTATATATATATATATATGTATGTATGTATTTTCGTAGATTTTCACGGGTACAGGTATGTAGGTCTAGGTGTGTTCGGGTCTTTTCCCATGTAAGATTAAGAGTATCTTGGCGACGTTTCAGCGAGGTCCCACTTGCCATCCTCAGGCTGGTGCTTTCAGCTTGGTGCCAGTGCAAGCAGTGTGTGATCGGAACTGCTATCTCTCTATAAATACTGGTGTGTGGGGGGGCTGGTGTTCTGGGCTGGTTGGCTGCGCTGCTGCCTCTTGATTGGTTGATGGAATTGATGTTGGTATAATGGGCTGTGTGATGGCCTTGTGAGTTTTGTTGTGGAGATATCCTGGATCTTGTGCTATAATCTCCTGGGTCGGTTTTTTTGTAGTGATCTTTTTTCCATTTGCCTCCCGTGTTTTAACAGCTTGGGTAATGGGTTGTGTGATGGCCTTGCAAGTTCTTTTGTTGTGGTATCCTGGGTCCTACATTGTAATCTCCTGGGTCGTTTGTGTTTTGATCTCTTTTCCATTAGCCTCCTGTGTAGTAATGGCTTGGGTAATGGGCTGTGTGATGACCTTGTGAGTTTTATTGTTGTGGTATCCTTGGTCTTGTGCTGTGATTTCCTGGGTCGTTTGCTGTGTTGCAAATTCTTGAGTTCTTGTGGTGTAATTTCCTGAGTTTTCTGATGTGATATTCTGAGTGGGTGGTTGTGATGTAGCATTCTGGGTTTTGGTCTGGCTTCGAGTTTGGCGTCTGGGTCTATGTTATTGGCGGGTGTCAGCTTGTTTGTTTTGGGGTCGGGGGTGCGACAGCTGGTATCACACTCCTCCCCTACATCAAAGGCACCACAGACAAAATCAGCAAAATTCTCCACAAACACAATATCAGGACAGACTTCGGCACTGACCAAAAAATAGCCAACATCCTAAGAAACCCCAAAGACAAGATCCAGCAAGAAAACCAAGGAGTTTATGAAATACCATGCAACAATTGCCCAGCCACATACATTGGACAAACCAACAGGAAAACCCTGACCCCAAAACCAAGCAAGCTGATACGCCAAGAACACAGACCCAGATCCCAAACTTGAAGCCAGACCAAAACCCAGAATGCTACATCATACCCACCCGCTCAGGATATCACATCAGAAAACTCAGGAAATTACACCACAAGAACTCAAGAAGTTGCACCACAGCAAACGACCCAGGAAATCACAGCACAAGACCAAGGATACCACAGCAATAAAACTCACAAGTTCATCACACAGCCCATTACCCAAGCCGTTACAACACAGAAGGCTAATGGAAAAGAGATCAAAACACAAACGACCCAGGAGATTACAATGCAGGACCCAGGATACCACAACAAAAGAACTTGCAAGGCCATCACACAACCCATTACCCAAGCTGCTAAAACACGGGAGGCTAATGGAAAAAAGATCATTACAAAACAAACGACCCAGGAGATTACAGCACGAGATCCAGGATATCTCCACAACAAAACTCGCAAGGCCATCACACAGCTCATTATACAAACATCAACTCCATCAACCAATCAAGAGGCAGCAGTGCAGCCAACCAGCGCAGCACACCAGCCCCCCATACCAGTATTTATAGAGAGACAGCAGCTCCAATCACACACTGCTTGCACTGGCATGAAGCCGAAAGCACCAGCCTGAGGATGGTGAGTGGGACCTCGCTGAAACGTCGCCAAGATACTCTTAATCTTACATGGAAAAAGACCCGAACACACCTAGACCTGTATGTATGTATGTATGTATGTATGTATGTATGTATAGTATTCAGCTTTGTTCGGGTATTTTCCCATGTCAGTATAGTTGTGCTTTTAAAGTTGTAGCAATGTTTCAGCAGAATCTCATCTGCCATCATCAGGCTTCTGTGTTGTGTTCGTCTTGGAGAGAAAATATTTCTGCACAGGAATTAGTAAGCAGTCAGTATGTGGACTGTTACATAGCAATCATAGCATGTGTACTTTCTTTGTAAGTTCATGTATTAGTTTTGTGTGGGAAGCTCCAGCTCAGTGCAGCCTCCTAACACAGCTGTATGCAAGAATATATATATATATCTGTGCGATCACATTACAGTTTCTGTGCTAGTTTCATATTGTTTCATACTTGGAATAGGTTTTCATCTAGCAATTTGGAAATGTTAACAGTCCTAAGAGAAACAGCTGCTCTGTGGCCAGTAGGAACAATTTCTTAAGATAAGAAACAGATTATTCTTTTGATTTTAAGATATATGAATGAGAAAAATTGTGATTATACTGCTGTATGTTATATTATAAAGAAATTAACCATGTTATTGTTTATTAACTCAGACAATTTATTTAAATTACAGATTGACACAGTTCAGAAAAGTTGATTAGTTGTTTATTTTAGAGCCTACTGCAACTTTGATACATGTGTGAGCAATGCCTAACTTAATTCAAAAAAATGCCAGAATTATCATTTGGAAATAGGGAATTGCCATTTCTTATTGGTGTTGGTCTTATTTGGAAAATGGCACCAATGGAGCCTGGTTTTCCTAAGATCTCTTAGAAAAGGATTAGTATATAGACAAATATACAGAGAATCTCCAGGTAATTCAGTTAAAGCTTGGTTGAATTAAATGAAACTAATTAGTTACCAAAGAAAGCAAATGAATTATTTCTCAGTAGTTGGCAGTAGTTTAGAATATGCATTGGAATGACTAAGCTGTTTTGTTGATTATGTATTAAAATTATATCTATAGGCTCACAGGCAGCAATTGATTAAAAATAAGGTTTTGGCAAGCAAGGTATTAAATGCAGTATGCATGAACCCAATACCAATCAAATGATGCTTAAAATAAAGAACCAAAGAATTTTTCCCCATGATATTAATTAATTTTAGCAGAAGCAAATTATAATTCTCAGGACATAAGCCATTTTTTTCAGCATAAAGCTACATGAATAGTGTTCTTGACAGCAGACACCAATATTTCAGCAAGCTGTTTGATTAGAATACACAATAAAACATTGCTGATCTTCCACCTTATGCATTTTTACCCAGAGTTTGCCAGAAGGTTAGGTGGGATCAACTGATAACATCCTTGGATAACTTGTAATATATTAGCAGAATTTCAAACTCAATATAGTTTAGCAACAAGTGAAAGCCCTTCCCACTCCCCACTAATCCATAGGTGTCAGTCCTTAGAGGTAGGCAAGATCAAGATATTATAGGAATATCCTATATTATTATAAGACAGAATAATAGAATCTTGAGAATCTGTCAGTTTCTCTCTGCCTCTCTATGAAGCAAAATCAAAGCAGGGTTATTTTGAGTTTCTTTTTCATGCTGCCCACTTTTCTAGGCCTGGGTTATCTTATTTGTCTCCTCCCTTAATAAGAGGTCAGATCTATACTGCTTCATAATATGTTACTAAGGATGTTTTCTTAAAACAAAAAAACTCAAAGTTCAGACCGATAGATCACTAGATTTTTTTCTGCTGTTGATTTTCTATGTTGTTATGTTGTAGAAAACTAGGAGTGGAGTTTTGTATGGAATGACACTTAAACCTTGTTCTAATATTGACCAGAAATATCTAGGCTCCATATCATAGGCATCCTGATCTTAAATTTCATCGCAATTTTCAGGAAATATTCAGTTATTTGGATGACTTTTGAGAATCTAACCCCTTCTTTTATTGTAGCTCCATTTTTACAGAGCTATAACATTTACTAGTAATGTGCTGTGCTTTCAACCAGCCATGCTGTATCATCTTCTGAATCACCCAAGAAGTGTTTTTCAAACTTGGCAGCTTGAAGATGCGTGGAGTTCAAACCTCACAATTCCACAAACTATTCTGGAAGTTTGATGTTTGAATACATTTTGCCAAGGTGGAGAAATATGAGCTTTGCTTTGGAAGAAACTCTGTTCATCTTTTTCTAGAAGCCACAAATCTTCTATATAATCTGGCAGATAAACTCTCCCCAAAGTATGAAAGTAGGGAAAGAGCACTACCACTACAAGGAAAACTTGTAGAGAGCACACTTTTTATAAGGACAGATTCCTCCAGCTGTGGTTTTGTCCTATTTGTGGTTGGGGTTTTACAATACCAATATGTGCTTTCCCGATGCATTATACCAAAATACTTATTTTGCATCCATGTTTTATTAGAGATTGTGAAGTATATTGCAGCCTGTTCAGTTATTTTCAAATGAAATGTTGTTGCTGCTAAACCTTTAGCTTGTTTTTAATCTCATAGTGATTAGGATGCTGGTGTAGAAATCAGGAGACTATGAATTCTAGTCTTACCTTAGGCATGATTGGTGATTTATCTCTCAGTATCTCACAGGTTGTTGTGGAGGAAATAGGAAGAGGAAAGAATATTATGTATGTTCACCACTTTGAGTTAGTTATAAAGTAATAAGGGTGAGATAAAAATCAAATAATAAATTAGTAATTTTTTAGATTACACTTCTAATCTTTGGAGTATATTGTTTCACAGTTAAGAATAAGCTAAGCATATAGTTATTAGTTTTTCTTAAATCATAAAAATGCTTTGTAAATGGTTTGTAATTTTTGTTGTTATTTCTTAAAGGAAAACGCCAGATCCATCATTTAGGGAACCAGCTGCAACTAAATCAGCATTGTCTTGATACAGCCTTCAACTTTTTCAAAATGGCAGTGAGCAAGCACTTAACCCGCGGGAGGAAGATGACCCATGTCATAGCAGCATGCCTCTACTTGGTGTGTAGGACAGAAGGCACTCCACGTATCCTTTCACTGTTTGACAATCAGTCAATTTTAAAATGTCTTTCATATTTCTAGAACTTGATGAATAGAAGATTATTTTCATATCTGTTAAAGCAATAAACCATTCTAAATTGGATAAATGTATACAGTTGATGGAGATTATTAATTGGTGGGAATTATTAAATTTAATGGCAGTTAGGAAAAGGTAATGGCAGTTAGGAAAATCGTGATTATTTTTCAGGAGAATCTACATCTCTGACAATATTATAATTCTAAATCCTGAGAGAGACACAAGTTCTGGAGGGACTTGTTGACTAGGTAACATATGACCAGTTCCTGTCCTGTATAAATATAGTTAAGGATGATTAAATAAAAGATGTAATAATGACAAATGCATTCTAATTATAAAAACAGTGTGATTGATCTGGAGTCTAGTCAAGAGTTTGTCCTTTGCGTTAAAACTCTGCTTCTGCTGAGCAAAGGGTTTATTTTGAATGTTTGTACTTTATTCTGTTTTAATTTCATAAGCCTGCCTTTCCTGTAGCATTTTCTTGTTCTGTTAGATTTCTCAGTATGTTTCCATTTTTCCACATTGTTCTTGTTAATAGTGAAATTAGATTCTTGTGTCCAGACAGATAAGACATCAGGGTTATTTGAGACAAATATATATAATAAGCAAAAAATAATCCTGCAGGAATCTCATTGAGTTGAAGGTGAAAAAAAAATCAAATAGGAAAAGGAAATGGTAGATACAAAATTAATATAAAGAACTATAGGAAATATTATAGAGGACAAAATAATAATAAAGATTTGTTGTACCTAACACATCAGAAGTTGGGGAAAATAAAAAATATATACTAAGGAGGATAGAACAGAGAAACTAATGGTGGTTGTGTGGAGAAAGTGAATTTATTACATTATCCTTGATTTATCACATAATCCATGGAAAAATGTTACTGATCATCTACTTGTAGAAAAAAAATTAGGTGGTTTGGCTATTGTCAATCATTTCTGGTTTTTAAATTCTACTTGATCCAACAAACCATTCAGAATATGGGGCCTTTTACCTTTTAAGATAGGTTGTAGCTTAAAACTATTTTCCTCCCATTGATTGCACCATTTCTGGAGTTAGATACTTTTTCTCTCTACTTGAATTCTAAGGCATCCCAAAATACTTGAACTTGCACACAAGTTCATGCATCCCAGGGTTGTTAGATATGGCTCTTAAGGCCAGAGTCCCTCAGACTGTTGGTCACCACACTGTAAAAAAGATGTTGAGACTCTAGAAAAAGTAGAGAAGAGCAGCTTCTCTGGAGAAAAACACTATTCAGTTCCTTAAGATAGTATTTTTCCTTAAGTGAATGCATTTCACATTAGAAACAATTCAGTTTTTACATTTATTTTAAAATGTGGAATGCATTGATTTAAGATTTGTTTTGCTGCTTTGCTTTAAATGTTTGAAATATAGAAACAGTTTTGAATATTCATTGCCAGTAGTGTTGTAAAGAGTATTAAATGTGCACTTCACAGGGTACATATAGCCACCTATATTATGTTACAAGTTTGTTCTGTAAGACTCCACATGGTTCTATTTATCCGCCATGTTGCCAGGTGTCTGGATTTATGTAGTGCCCGACATAAATGTTAGCTGCTTGTGAGGAAGATCTCTTCTTCATGTGGCAGGTCAGCTTTTGATCTACCCAAGATAATTTTTGCAGGTGTGAGAGATTTTTCTTGCTTTTTTATTCTGTATTTTTGTTTATGGTTTGACTGGTTTTTCCACTTTTAAAATTTGGATAATAAATTGAAATGCCATATAAGTAGCAATTACAGTTAGCTAGTATATTTTAGTTAGGGTTTCTAAGAGGGGCAAACAACAAATTTTCCTCAGTTAGAAGAGATCTGCCTTATTTTAACAAGAGATAGCATTGCAGAAGTTGTCAGGGGGACTTTTCAAAAGAGAGCCATTAATAATTTTAAAAATATTTTTATATGTCTGGTGGTGCAACTGTTATATATGCTCTCTTTATTGGCATAAATTGTTTCAGTTTCCCCCTTGCATTTATCTTGACATCTGGTCCTCAGAAAGAGGTAGCACATGAGAGAGACCATCTGGCTTAATGATTTATGTGATTCTGTTACATAAACTCAAACAGTTAGTGGAATGGATGATAATTTTGTGAACATGGGCAAGCTGGATATATTAGAATGACTCGTACAGAGTTCCACTTAATATTCCTGCTTCCTTGCTTTTTCCCAATATGTTGACTGCTTTTGTTATTGTGGATATGTCATTTAATTAGAATCAGATCTTTCAGGGAATTAGGGAAGCAATCCCTCTTTCTGGACAGCTAGATACATGGAAGCATACCTATAGAGAGGGGAATGGTAGTTTAATGGTTTTCATGTTGAAAGCCTCCAGGTTCAGCCTCTAGCATCTCAAATTAAGCAGATCAGAGATCAAGTAGTGGACAAGATATTTGAAAAAGTTTTGGATAGCTGTTGCTAAGCAGAGTGGACTGTGATCCTGACATAAGAGAATATTTGCAATATACAGATGATCTCTGGGGTCCTTGGAGTTCTCTGAGCTTGGCAGTTTCAAACTAGGTAATAATCAGTGCTAGAAGAGAATGGAGTTTGTTTTCTTTTTACATATTAGTGTCCTGTCAGTATTGGTGGGAATGGTCTTGGTGCTTCCTTGATTAGGTTGTGGTTTACTGTTGTCTTGCTTGTTTGAGTTAGTATTTCTTTGATTGGGGTATGGTTTACTTCTCAATTATTGGCCTAGTATTTATCTTGATGCAATCTCTATGTGCCTGTTGATAGCTGATTTGTCTGTATACCAGTTTCCAGGAACTTTGTAGTGGTTTTGGACTTGGCTTGATCTAGGATGCTCACAGTTTCCCAGTTGAAACAATGGTTAAGTCTGTTCATAGAGATAAACAACATCTACACACCATTCAAAAGAGGCAATCAAAGAGTCAAAAAGGGAATAAAAAGACCAAAACATCTCTTCACCAGCAATCAACACTAAACACATTTCTGGTCTGTTGAAAGGTTCCTATGATTCTTCTATCATCATGCTTGATAATGCATCTTACTATGAGAAATGAGAAGTCATATGCTTATTCCAGATATATCTATACGTCATGCACCTAAAATATAACTTCTAGGAATTTGTATATTTATTACATGCCTTCAGAATATTTTTAACCATATTTTTTTAATCTGAATGTTGCTTTCTTCCTTTCTTTGTCATCATTCATGAATATTAAGAATAAGAGAAAGGTCTCAGATGTGAAAGGTGATTGAACTAAGGGCTTGAAAGACTATTATTAAGGTGCTTGTACTACCAAAGGGACAATACTCCACTGAATTAGAATAGCCTGTGTCTTTAATATCTTGGGAACGAAATATTTTTAATTCTTTGCTAGACTTTCAGAAAGCAGGTTCAGCACCATCACTTTTCTTGTCTCAAGGTAAGGCTTTGGGAGGAGTCTTCCACTGAGCAGTTGATCTGTTGGTTTTGGATCCTGACTATCTCTACAACGGACTTCGATGATACTCAACCTGGCCTGGGACTTGATCCTATTGGATTTCCCATCTATATGTTATTTGGCTGTTCTGAATGTGGATGACTTCTGGCCTAAAATTCTGTAAATTCCTAAAATTCTTTTGCTGACTTCAAAGGCTTCACTAGAAGCAGACTCAATCATAGTAATGTGGTCTAGAACATGCTGGCTGAGGAATTACAGGAGCTGAAATCCATAAAAGTTAAAGTTGTCAAGGTTGAGAAACACTTGTCTAGAAGAAGGCTGCCTGTGTATTTTCCTGGAGTTAAGCTGAGTTTTTCTTTAAAGGATGTTGAGTATTGTTTTTATGTTTACATTTGTTCTCAGCCTTGCATATAAGTTGAGATGTTTCTTCCTGTACAGCAAAATAGAAGCTTCGGTTTTCATCTACACAGATCTGTTTATCAACAAAAGAACACATCTGTGAATCCTATCTCTGACAGAGTCTGCTGTGTAATAATGCTGAGGGACTCTTTGAAACAGATTTCAACAGAATGCATGAGATTGTAGGGAAAAGGGGGAGGTAAAAGCTGTTATGTAAGAAGAAATGTGCTTATGCAACCATAGGCATCACTTTGTATGGTATTTTGAATGGTGTTTCTTTTGGTATACCTTTAATTTCTTTTCATCATTCACAAACGGGAGGTTTATTGCATTCCCCAGGCACTCTGATATTTACTTAGAACATTCTTCATATTGGAACAAAAGAAAACTGCCTTATATGCTTCATCTCACTCAGAGCTGTCTATTGTGACAAGTGTCCATGATCTTAGAAAAAATCTTTTCTAATTCTGGGACTTTTATTTTCTTTGGAAATGGATTTTTGGGCTATCACCTGGTGTTAAAAGGATATAGGAAATTGCTTTCTATTACTGAGAATCCCTTCCATGCCATACTGTTTTTTTAAATTTGGATTTTAACTAGAGAATGGCAATCTGATTTTTTTCTGACCCTGTAATTTTACTTCTGCATCATGTTGGGCGAATTACATGTGGGAACTTGTGCTATGATCTTGGCAGGAAAGTACTTGCTACTGCTTTTTGTGGCATAAACAAGTAAAGGAGGCAGCCAGGACCATTTGTTTTTAAAACTTCCAGTGGAGGTTCAGACAGGATGAACTAATACTGTAGTTATTCTGCTAGGAAGTATAAAGTCTGTTGACAGAAGATTTTTGAAATGTGTGTCAATGAGATTTTAAAAGTGCTTGTCCTTTTGCCTTTCTTCTTGGGATTAAGGATAGCAAATAAATCTCTTTCTCGTTTATCCCCATGCAGCATTTTTTAAAGATAAAAATACCTTGGAAGTTAGGGCTAAATCTGTTAGTAAAATCATGGTCCGTGGTCAGGATCCTCTACTATTTTAAGAAAGATTAATAGTTGTATATAAAAGTTTATGGGTGTTCAGGTTGGATAGAGGCCTGGACTTAACTTTTTATTTATAAGTTGTT